TTTGCATAACTAAATTACTTCCAAGTGATGTGAGCACCTTGATCTTGGTTGAACAGAGAATGGCCCGTGCTTTTTAAAATGAAAGACTCCCATCCTGGCAAACCATCTTACACTCAAGGGAAACAGGACAATTGACCAACTTCTCCCGTGCGTGTTGGCATATTTTCCAGTGTCTCAACGGTGCGTCAGATTTTAAATGTAAAGGAATTAAAATAATGTTGAGCTATAGTGTCAGCTGGCCATGGCAATAAGCTATGCGAGAGATCCTGTCTCAAAAAGGCAAGGGTTGGGGATGCAGCTCAGTGGATGTTCTCAATCTTCCAGTGTGAGGGGCTGGGGAGTATTATTCAGGGTGTTCAAGAACCTACCTAGAATCCCCTCCTCCCCATAGGGGGCTGGGGTGTGGCTCAGTGGTAGAGCACATGCCTAGAATCCCCCAGTGAGGGGCTGGGGTGTGGCTCAGTGGTAGAGCACCCGCCTAGAATCCCCCAGTGAGGGGTCAGGAGTGTGGCTCAATAGTGGTAGAGCCCCTGCCTAGAATCCCCCAGTGAGGGGAATTGAAACGCGTCTCAATTGTAGAGAGCTTACCTTGACCCATGGCTCAGCAGTAGAACACTTGACTAGAATCTAACAGGGAGGGGCTGGGGTGGAGGGCATCACTCAGTAGGATGTCCTGCACTTAATCCCCAGCCCCCACCACACAAACAGAAACCTTTATGTTACATGACTGTGCACACGTTAGACCCACATGACTAAATCATAAATTCTGGTGGCAGAGCAACCTCCCTCTCCTCACCATGTGCATGTCTCTGTGCCCTTCTGGAGTCTCAGTTGGTTTTTATGCTAGTCATGTCCTGAAAAATTGATTTCACCATCCACTTTCAGGTCACAGCCTGCAGATTGGAAAATCTTGATTTGGCCCACTGGGAGCAGAAGCCAGAGAACCGGCCAGATCCTGATCGGAGCCTTGTTTGTTTTGTTTCGTCACCTGTTAGCTGTTTGGAGATGCTGTACCTCAAACACGATTCCTTTTCTCATGCGCAGTTCTGACTGGTTACCTTACCTTGGTAATTACCTTGGTAATCTGACTCAATTACCTTATTGGTTGTTGCTTTTTGTTTTTGTTTTTGTTTTTCAAGACAGGGCTTCTCTGTGTAATAGCCCTAGCTGTCCTGGCACTCACTCTGTAGACCAGGCTGGCCTCGAGCTCACAGAGATCCACCTGCCTCTGCCTCCTGAGTGCTGGAATTAAAGGTGTGCACCACCACCACCCAGCCACTAAACTACCTTAACCCTCCCTCTAACCATAGCGTGTGTTGCCTTTTAGGGGTCTGAATGCATTTCGGGGGAGGGAAAGAGGTATTTCACAATGTAGCCCAGGCTAGCCTTTGAACTCTTTATGTAGCTAAGGATGACCTTGAACTCCTGATCCTCTGCCTCCCAGGTGCTAGGGTTATAAATATGTACCACCAAGTTGGGCTCCTGAATACATTTTTATCTGGGCCTTCTAGATCTGTAGAGGCCATGGCAAAGGCATAAACTTATGCATATATGCATTCCCTAGACCCTGAGTGGCTGTCCCTCACGTACCAGTTGCTGTTGCTAACAGTGAGAATACAGCAGAGAACAGTCGAAAGTCATTGCTTTTTTTAATTTTCTATTATGTTTACTTAAAGAGGGAGAGGAGAGGAGAGAGAGAGAGAGAGAGAGAGAGAGAGAGAGAGAGAGAGAATACATATGGAAGCCAAAGGACAGCTTAGGGAGTTGGTTATCTCTTTCCACCAAATGGGTCTTGGGGATTGAACTCAGGTCTTAAGGCTTGGCAGCAAGTGCCTTTACCTGCTGAGCCATCCCACCAGCGCCCAAAATCATTGGTTTTATGGAACAGAGATTTTTAGAGATGGAAGACAGATTCTTTTAGTTGTTAGTTTTGGTTTTCCTTTTTTTATTGATTTTATTGAGCTATACATTTTTCTCTGTTCCCCTCCCTTCCACCTCCTCCCATGACCCCCAAGCTCCCAATTTACTCAGGAGATCTTGTCTTTTTCTCCTTCCTATGTAGATACATGTATGTCTCTCTTAGGGTCCTCTTTGTTGTCTAGGTTGTCTTGGGTTGTGAACTATAGGTTGGGTTTTTTCTTTATGTCTAGAAATCATTTATGAGTAAACATGTACTATATTTGTCTTTCTGGGTCTGGGTTACCTCACTCACAGACTCTCACTATGTAGCCAAGGTGTGCATGAATTCACTACGTAGCCGAGGCTGGCCTTCCACTAACAACAATCCTCCCGCCTTGACTTCCAAGCACTGGAATACAAATGTGTGCCATCATGACCGATATCTTATTTTATCTGTTTACAGTGCTGGGGATCAAACTCAGGGTCTTGTAACTGCTGGCCAAGTGCTCTACCACTGAGCTACAAGCCCAGTTTGAAGCCTAGTCTCTGAGTGGTCGGTTAGGTGTGGTGGAGGCATACCCTCACTCCAAGAACCTGAGAGGTAGGAGCAGAAAAATCAAGAATTCTGGGCTAACCTGAGCTATAGGAAACCCAGTCTCCAAAAATTGAGAAAACAAAAATGAGGGCTGGAGAGCTGCCTTGGTGTTTAAGCGGGAACCTGAGGTCCTTTCTCAGAAACCATGTCAAGTGCCTCATGACTACCTGTAATTCCAGCACCAATGGGATTCAATACCTGCTTCTGGTCTCCTGGGGCACACATACCCACAATATAGACACAATATATACACACAGAGACATAAATAAAAACAAATATTACCTAAACTAAGTAAGACTAGGGAGACGACTCTGTGGTTAAGAACAATGGCTGCTCGTCCAGAGAACCATGGGTTCAGTTCCCAGAACCCACAGAGCAGTTCACAACCATCTGTAGCTCCAGTCCCAAAGGATCTGACAATCTCTTCTGGACTCCCTGGTCACCAAGCATGCTTATGACACACACACACACACACACACACACACACACACACACAGGCAAAGCACCTATATACACAAAATAATGTAATTTTTAAAAAATTTTAGTTAAAAGTAAAGAAAATGAAGGCTGAGATTCCTCACTTGAGAGTGTGTGCCTAGTATGTACGGAGCCCTGGGCTCCATCCACACCATCGCATAAACCAGATGGGGCACTGCACACCTGTAATCCCAGCACTCAGGAGACGGAGGCAAGAAGATCTGAAGTCTGAAGTTCAGGGTAATCCTCAACCACATAAAGAGTTGAAGGATAATATGAGAGAAATGAGACCCTGTCTCAAAGACAAAATAAAAATAGAGCAATCAATTACTTATTTAAATTACGTGTGTGTGCACGTGCGCGTGCGCGTGCGGTTCCCATGTGGAGATCAGAGGACAAACTACAGGAATCGGTCCTCTCCTTTCAAGGTCTAGGTCCAGGAGATCTACCTTAGGTCATCAGGCTTGGCAGCAAGTGTCTTTATCCACTGAATCTTCTCGATGGCCCAATCTTTAGTGAAATTAAAGCAATAGAGGGCTGAACAGGCTATGAGAAGGACTCAAGATTTGGGGTTTCACACCCTTGTCAGTATGAAGAAGCATAATGAGCCCCGATCTAATAGAAGGGGCCTGAGAATGTGAGCTTGACAGGCAGCACTATCCCCCTCCCAAAAAAAGTTTCCTGTCCGCCTCGCAGGTAGATTGACCCACCACATTCCCCCCCTCCCAAAGCATTCTGCCAAAGGGCAAAAGCACTAGTCAGTAACTTTAACCTAAAGGATATCAAATCCTAGTCAGCCATGAAAGACGGGGGGGTGGGGGGTACATATTAGCTGAACAGATCCCCCTGACAGCATGCAAGCCTAGGGTTAGAAACCCTAGGGATGACTCTCATTCAGATTCAGGTCCGCTCCCTACCCCTCCCACGCACTCTCCCCCCTCCCCGAGATCCACAGTTACTTCAGCAGCTTTGCACCCATGATCCCGGAGACCCGGGTCCTGGTTCCCGTGCCTGCCTTATCTCTCTCCTCCCTCACATTTTCCGTAGCAACAAAGCCAAACACAGTACCGTGGGGGCTTTCACGCTTCCGTGCGTTTGGACACGGTGTTCCTTCTGCCTGGAAGGCCGCGCAGCTCTCTCTCTGAGTCGAACCCCCCACCTCCCCGCCTTGCGTGCTCTCATTCAGCCCTCAGTACCCTTCCACAAGGACCCAGCACCCTTCTCTAGCTAACTCAAGCCTTGTCTTTTGCTTTGGCTTCGCTGCACGACAATCACCGATTCCTCTAAATCTCTCCCCTGGCAGGCTCAGGCCTTCTCCAACGCTGGAGTTGTTTGTGGAGGAAAGGGGTTGCTCGCTTGACACCCCAGAGAAAGCGCCTAATCCTGAGTTTGAGCGACGACAGAGCATGCACCTAAGCTTAGGACGGCTCCAAATGTGTCCCATAAGGGTTCTTCTGTGTCCCTGGGGAACCCCGAATCTTGCATTCCGGGTGCACCGTGGCGCAGCAGCCCAGCCCCCCTGGCTTGACATCAGCAAGCTGGAGTAGTCCAGGGGGGAAGGGCCGCGTAAAATCGCGAGTATGGACTACAAATCCCGATAGGCATCGCGTGGCCCCGCGGCTGGCGCCTGCGCAGCACGGGCCCGGCGTTTGAGTGGCAAGTTGTTTGTTACAGCGAACACCAGCTGCTGCTGCGCCGGGCGCCGCGCTCCGCCGGGCGCTGTTTGCTTGTCCACCCCGTAGCTCGCTGTACCCCGCAGGTCCTCCCCAGGCCTCCTTTTTTTGCAACTTGCCAAGCTTCCTTTTTTCTGGATCGAGTACAAATCAGTCCAGCACCGAGCACCGGGCCCCCTTCCCTGGGCCGGTTGCCCCAAGGCTTGGGGCGCGCAGGGGGCGGGGGCCGCTGCTCGTCCCCGGGGGGGGG